GTTAAGAGCAAGTTGCGTCTGCTTGAAACTGCTTGAGCACACTTCCGCAGTAAGCGACTGCTGGCTACATGCAGATCGAGCTTTCTGAAATTCACTGCGAATCCCTGTCGGAAACTCAGGCTAAATGGCCTGACTGCCTAAATGGCCTGACTACCTAAATCACGACGCACAGCTGAGCACAGTGGGGCAATGTACTCAACCAGCACGAAAGCCTCTGCTGCTCAGCCGTGCATCTGCACAATTCACACGCCCGGGTCGGACCAGCACTCCCAGCTCAGACCGTGATCTCGCTGGAATCTGGCACAACTCCGAGCTTCATGCTAGACTGGGAGTCGGGGTAGATGCAAACGCCCAGGAGGCTGGACAGGTGCACGCACTTGGCACCGCTGGGGCAACCTCCCATGATGCAGGCCAGTGCGCAGTACTTGTCGCCGGTGCTGGAGTCCTGCAGGATGCACATGGGCTTGGCGCTGGTGCCCTCCGGGACATCCGTTGGGCAGGAGCCGGTGTTGCACTTTGGGGCGCACACGCTGCCACCGGCACCCTCCACCTCGGCCTGGGTCTCGTCGCCCTGGCAGGGAGGCTTCTCGTAGTGGCTCTTGCTGGGAGTCGGAGGAGACGGCGGGGACGGCGGGGACGGTGGGGAAGGAGAGGGGCCCGGCTTGCCCGAAACGACGGGGTAGGACGCCTGGCTCTTGATGCCACACTCACCCGGACCTGGCTTGCCACGCTCCAGCTTCACGTAGCCCTGTTCTCCCCAAGTGGCTCCCCAGCTGTTCCTCGAAAGCGTGGATTCAGGGCGGTGCAAGAGCTCTACAATGCTACAAATCCATGCGTCCCACTCTCCTTACCAGCAGGATGCCTCGACATTTCTAATCGTAGCCAAGGAGCTTCACCAGCCAGTAGTCCTTGCCGTCCTCAGTTCCGTAGCCCACGACCAGCACACCGTGGTCCAAAGAGGTGCCGCAGGTCTTGCTGAGAACTCCGCTCTTGTACATCTGGAAAGCCATCTGATCCGCCTGCCGTACAGAGCTGCAGAAGCTGCAAAGGACATCAAAAGAAGAAGCAAAGAGAGGCAAGAAACCGTCTAGAAAGAAAGCGCTTCAGACCATGGATGGAGAATGCTTGCCTCGATGGCCACGGACACGGGCTGCTTGGAGACGGCGTCCATCAGAGCCTGCTCGTCATCAACCTTCACGTCCTTGTAGCCGGTGACGCCATGTGCGGGGATGCCCACCGTGCAGCCGGAGGCCTTGCAAATCCCGTTCTTGGCAAGGTACGGGTAGCTGTCCTTGCAGCTCAAGCATGCGCCCGCGCACGCAAGAGTATCAAGCTGCAGACTGCGAACCTGAGCTTAACCTCAACCCCAACCCTCATCGCACTTCTCGCAGCAATCTCGGCACCAAGTCCTACAACCGAGACCATCCGCGAACCCTCTCCAAACATGACAGCTGATGCCACTTCAACAGAGGTTGGCCCCCAGACCCGTCCTCGGTGCACACAGGGGCCTGCTCCTCGTATTTGAAGCCGTTGTCCATGAGGCCTCCACTGCAGCCCTGGTTGCCGAACTTCTTGGAGCAGTCCACCAACCTCGTTGCACTCACCCTCTCGTGATATCTCATGCTCACGTTGCTCACTCTGACACATACTAGAAGTTGTGCTGAGGTCGCGGGCTGCTGCTCGGACAGCGAGACGAGCTTGCCCGTGGCGATGGCCCAGGCGCCCTCCAAGGCACCTGTAGTACCTTGCCCGGCCCTTTACAACATCTGAAGACTTCAGGCGATGCAATCCTGAGAAAGGGACCTGTTAAAGTTAAACCCAATCAAGGAAAACATCAACATCCCAAGGGCCTAGGCACTGAAGGCCCAGCAAGACCCGCACTGCTTCTGGTTCTTCACCGGTGTCACAGCCTTGCTGCGCCAGTCAACGGAGCTGGGCGCGGAGGAGTTGCCGGGCTTGTGAGTGCCAAGGCTCTTCAAGGATCCCCACATCGATCCAGGCAGATTCAGCCCGAGCTTGCTCATCTTGAACTCATCCAGCGTCATGTCTGAGAACTCGTTCAAGCCTAGCTTGTAGGAGTGGCCCTTGGCGTTCTCGCGCGAGATGTAGTCAAAGTTGTCCGCGAAGGCGCCAAAGCGGGCCTGCTTCTCCACGTCGTCATAGTCCTTGTCGAAGTCCTTCAGGAACTGGTCGAAGGCCTTTTCGATGTCCGTCCGGGGCTTGTGGGCACCGGCGAGGCCCAGCACACCCAGGCACGCAAGACTCAGGGCTTTCACCATGGCAAAAACGCGCCACGTCAAGGAGTGGAAGACTGAACGTGTCGCTTGGACGATGGCCCCAAAACCAGCGGAAAGATAAAGTTACATCGTAACATCAAAGTGCAAGCGCAGAGCCCGGCACGACGTGTTGCGATATGCTGCGATGCTGGACTCCACATTGCATCATGCCGCGAACATGAGTTTTCCTCTGTCTCCTGAGTCTACTGAAACGCCGTTGCTGGTAGCAACCTCTTGCATCACCTGCATCTAGACACAGTGAAATTATTCAAAGGATTTGTCCGCTCAGTCTGTCCAGGCGCCCAATCAGCGCAAGCTACAGCCGAGCCAGGCATGGCCAGGTCGGACCAGCACTCCCAGCTCAGACCGTGATCTCGCTGGAATCTGGCACAACTCCGAGCTTCATGCTAGACTGGGAGTCGGGGTAGATGCAAACGCCCAGGAGGCTGGACAGGTGCACGCACTTGGCACCGCTGGGGCAACCTCCCATGATGCAGGCCAGTGCGCAGTACTTGTCGCCGGTGCTGGAGTCCTGCAGGATGCACATGGGCTTGGCGCTGGTGCCCTCCGGGACATCCGTTGGGCAGGAGCCGGTGTTGCACTTTGGGGCGCACACGCTGCCACCGGCACCCTCCACCTCGGCCTGGGTCTCGTCGCCCTGGCAGGGAGGCTTCTCGTAGTGGCTCTTGCTGGGAGTCGGAGGAGACGGCGGGGACGGCGGGGACGGTGGGGAAGGAGAGGGGCCCGGCTTGCCCGAAACGACGGGGTAGGACGCCTGGCTCTTGATGCCACACTCACCCGGACCTGGCTTGCCACGCTCCAGCTTCACGTAGCCCTGTTCTCCCCAAGTGGCTCCCCAGCTGTTCCTCGAAAGCGTGGATTCAGGGCCGTGCAAGAGCTCTACAATGCTACAAATCCATGCGTCCCACTCTCCTTACCAGCAGGATGCCTCGACATTTCTAATCGTAGCCAAGGAGCTTCACCAGCCAGTAGTCCTTGCCGTCCTCAGTTCCGTAGCCCACGACCAGCACACCGTGGTCCAAAGAGGTGCCGCAGGTCTTGCTGAGAACTCCGCTCTTGTACATCTGGAAAGCCATCTGATCCGCCTGCCGTACAGAGCTGCAGAAGCTGCAAAGGACATCAAAAGAAGAAGCAAAGAGAGGCAAGAAACCGTCTAGAAAGAAAGCGCTTCAGACCATGGATGGAGAATGCTTGCCTCGATGGCCACGGACACGGGCTGCTTGGAGACGGCGTCCATCAGAGCCTGCTCGTCATCAACCTTCACGTCCTTGTAGCCGGTGACGCCATGTGCGGGGATGCCCACCGTGCAGCCGGAGGCCTTGCAAATCCCGTTCTTGGCAAGGTACGGGTAGCTGTCCTTGCAGCTCAAGCACGCGCCCGCGCACGCAAGAGTGTCAAGCTGCAGACTGCGAAACTGAGCTTAACCTCAACCCCAACCCTCATCGCACTTCTCGCAGCAATCTCGGCACCAAGTCCTACAACCGAGACCATCCGCGAACCCTCTCCAAACATGACAGCTGATGCCACTTCAACAGAGGTTGGCCCCCAGACCCGTCCTCGGTGCACACAGGGGCCTGCTCCTCGTATTTGAAGCCGTTGTCCATGAGGCCTCCACTGCAGCCCTGGTTGCCGAACTTCTTGGAGCAGTCCACCAACCTCGTTGCACTCACCCTCTCGTGATATCTCATGCTCACGTTGCTCACTCTGACACATACTAGAAGTTGTGCTGAGGTCGCGGGCTGCTGCTCGGACAGCGAGACGAGCTTGCCCGTGGCGATGGCCCAGGCGCCCTCCAAGGCACCTGTAGTACCTTGCCCGGCCCTTTACAACATCTGAAGACTTCAGGCGATGCAATCCTGAGAAAGGGACCTGTTAAAGTTAAACCCAATCAAGGAAAACATCAACATCCCAAGGGCCTAGGCACTGAAGGCCCAGCAAGACCCGCACTGCTTCTGGTTCTTCACCGGTGTCACAGCCTTGCTGCGCCAGTCAACGGAGCTGGGCGCGGAGGAGTTGCCGGGCTTGTGAGTGCCAAGGCTCTTCAAGGATCCCCACATCGATCCAGGCAGATTCAGCCCGAGCTTGCTCATCTTGAACTCATCCAGCGTCATGTCTGAGAACTCGTTCAAGCCTAGCTTGTAGGAGTGGCCCTTGGCGTTCTCGCGCGAGATGTAGTCAAAGTTGTCCGCGAAGGCGCCAAAGCGGGCCTGCTTCTCCACGTCGTCATAGTCCTTGTCGAAGTCCTTCAGGAACTGGTCGAAGGCCTTTTCGATGTCCGTCCGGGGCTTGTGGGCACCGGCGAGGCCCAGCACACCCAGGCACGCAAGACTCAGGGCTTTCACCATGGCAAAAACGCGGCACGTCAAGGAGTGGAAGACTGAACGTGTCGCTTGGACGATGGCCCCAAAACCAGCGGAAAGATAAAGTTACATCGTAACATCAAAGTGCAAGCGCAGAGCCCGGCACGACGTGTTGCGATATGCTGCGATGCTGGACTCCACATTGCATCATGCCGCGAACATGAGTTTTCCTCTGTCTCCTGAGTCTACTGAAACGCCGTTGCTGGTAGCAACCTCTTGCATCACCTGCATCTAGACACAGTGAAATTATTCAAAGGATTTGTCCGCTCAGTCTGTCCAGGCGCCCAATCAGCGCAAGCTACAGCCGAGCCAGGCATGGCCAGGTCGGACCAGCACTCCCAGCTCAGACCGTGATCTCGCTGGAATCTGGCACAACTCCGAGCTTCATGCTAGACTGGGAGTCGGGGTAGATGCAAACGCCCAGGAGGCTGGACAGGTGCACGCACTTGGCACCGCTGGGGCAACCTCCCATGATGCAGGCCAGTGCGCAGTACTTGTCGCCGGTGCTGGAGTCCTGCAGGATGCACATGGGCTTGGCGCTGGTGCCCTCCGGGACATCCGTTGGGCAGGAGCCGGTGTTGCACTTTGGGGCGCACACGCTGCCACCGGCACCCTCCACCTCGGCCTGGGTCTCGTCGCCCTGGCAGGGAGGCTTCTCGTAGTGGCTCTTGCTGGGAGTCGGAGGAGACGGCGGGGACGGCGGGGACGGTGGGGAAGGAGAGGGGCCCGGCTTGCCCGAAACGACGGGGTAGGACGCCTGGCTCTTGATGCCACACTCACCCGGACCTGGCTTGCCACGCTCCAGCTTCACGTAGCCCTGTTCTCCCCAAGTGGCTCCCCAGCTGTTCCTCGAAAGCGTGGATTCAGGGCGGTGCAAGAGCTCTACAATGCTACAAATCCATGCGTCCCACTCTCCTTACCAGCAGGATGCCTCGACATTTCTAATCGTAGCCAAGGAGCTTCACCAGCCAGTAGTCCTTGCCGTCCTCAGTTCCGTAGCCCACGACCAGCACACCGTGGTCCAAAGAGGTGCCGCAGGTCTTGCTGAGAACTCCGCTCTTGTACATCTGGAAAGCCATCTGATCCGCCTGCCGTACAGAGCTGCAGAAGCTGCAAAGGACATCAAAAGAAGAAGCAAAGAGAGGCAAGAAACCGTCTAGAAAGAAAGCGCTTCAGACCATGGATGGAGAATGCTTGCCTCGATGGCCACGGACACGGGCTGCTTGGAGACGGCGTCCATCAGAGCCTGCTCGTCATCAACCTTCACGTCCTTGTAGCCGGTGACGCCATGTGCGGGGATGCCCACCGTGCAGCCGGAGGCCTTGCAAAATCCCGTTCTTGGCAAGGTACGGGTAGCTGTCCTTGCAGCTCAAGCATGCGCCCGCGCACGCAAGAGTATCAAGCTGCAGACTGCGAACCTGAGCTTAACCTCAACCCCAACCCTCATCGCACTTCTCGCAGCAATCTCGGCACCAAGTCCTACAACCGAGACCATCCGCGAACCCTCTCCAAACATGACAGCTGATGCCACTTCAACAGAGGTTGGCCCCCAGACCCGTCCTCGGTGCACACAGGGGCCTGCTCCTCGTATTTGAAGCCGTTGTCCATGAGGCCTCCACTGCAGCCCTGGTTGCCGAACTTCTTGGAGCAGTCCACCAACCTCGTTGCACTCACCCTCTCGTGATATCTCATGCTCACGTTGCTCACTCTGACACATACTAGAAGTTGTGCTGAGGTCGCGGGCTGCTGCTCGGACAGCGAGACGAGCTTGCCCGTGGCGATGGCCCAGGCGCCCTCCAAGGCACCTGTAGTACCTTGCCCGGCCCTTTACAACATCTGAAGACTTCAGGCGATGCAATCCTGAGAAAGGGACCTGTTAAAGTTAAACCCAATCAAGGAAAACATCAACATCCCAAGGGCCTAGGCACTGAAGGCCCAGCAAGACCCGCACTGCTTCTGGTTCTTCACCGGTGTCACAGCCTTGCTGCGCCAGTCAACGGAGCTGGGCGCGGAGGAGTTGCCGGGCTTGTGAGTGCCAAGGCTCTTCAAGGATCCCCACATCGATCCAGGCAGATTCAGCCCGAGCTTGCTCATCTTGAACTCATCCAGCGTCATGTCTGAGAACTCGTTCAAGCCTAGCTTGTAGGAGTGGCCCTTGGCGTTCTCGCGCGAGATGTAGTCAAAGTTGTCCGCGAAGGCGCCAAAGCGGGCCTGCTTCTCCACGTCGTCATAGTCCTTGTCGAAGTCCTTCAGGAACTGGTCGAAGGCCTTTTCGATGTCCGTCCGGGGCTTGTGGGCACCGGCGAGGCCCAGCACACCCAGGCACGCAAGACTCAGGGCTTTCACCATGGCAAAAACGCGCCACGTCAAGGAGTGGAAGACTGAACGTGTCGCTTGGACGATGGCCCCAAAACCAGCGGAAAGATAAAGTTACATCGTAACATCAAAGTGCAAGCGCAGAGCCCGGCACGACGTGTTGCGATATGCTGCGATGCTGGACTCCACATTGCATCATGCCGCGAACATGAGTTTTCCTCTGTCTCCTGAGTCTACTGAAACGCCGTTGCTGGTAGCAACCTCTTGCATCACCTGCATCTAGACACAGTGAAATTATTCAAAGGATTTGTCCGCTCAGTCTGTCCAGGCGCCCAATCAGCGCAAGCTACAGCCGAGCCAGGCATGGCCAGGTCGGACCAGCACTCCCAGCTCAGACCGTGATCTCGCTGGAATCTGGCACAACTCCGAGCTTCATGCTAGACTGGGAGTCGGGGTAGATGCAAACGCCCAGGAGGCTGGACAGGTGCACGCACTTGGCACCGCTGGGGCAACCTCCCATGATGCAGGCCAGTGCGCAGTACTTGTCGCCGGTGCTGGAGTCCTGCAGGATGCACATGGGCTTGGCGCTGGTGCCCTCCGGGACATCCGTTGGGCAGGAGCCGGTGTTGCACTTTGGGGCGCACACGCTGCCACCGGCACCCTCCACCTCGGCCTGGGTCTCGTCGCCCTGGCAGGGAGGCTTCTCGTAGTGGCTCTTGCTGGGAGTCGGAGGAGACGGCGGGGACGGCGGGGACGGTGGGGAAGGAGAGGGGCCCGGCTTGCCCGAAACGACGGGGTAGGACGCCTGGCTCTTGATGCCACACTCACCCGGACCTGGCTTGCCACGCTCCAGCTTCACGTAGCCCTGTTCTCCCCAAGTGGCTCCCCAGCTGTTCCTCGAAAGCGTGGATTCAGGGCGGTGCAAGAGCTCTACAATGCTACAAATCCATGCGTCCCACTCTCCTTACCAGCAGGATGCCTCGACATTTCTAATCGTAGCCAAGGAGCTTCACCAGCCAGTAGTCCTTGCCGTCCTCAGTTCCGTAGCCCACGACCAGCACACCGTGGTCCAAAGAGGTGCCGCAGGTCTTGCTGAGAACTCCGCTCTTGTACATCTGGAAAGCCATCTGATCCGCCTGCCGTACAGAGCTGCAGAAGCTGCAAAGGACATCAAAAGAAGAAGCAAAGAGAGGCAAGAAACCGTCTAGAAACAAAGCGCTTCAGACCATGGATGGAGAATGCTTGCCTCGATGGCCACGGACACGGGCTGCTTGGAGACGGCGTCCATCAGAGCCTGCTCGTCATCAACCTTCACGTCCTTGTAGCCGGTGACGCCATGTGCGGGGATGCCCACCGTGCAGCCGGAGGCCTTGCAAATCCCGTTCTTGGCAAGGTACGGGTAGCTGTCCTTGCAGCTCAAGCATGCGCCCGCGCACGCAAGAGTATCAAGCTGCAGACTGCGAACCTGAGCTTAACCTCAACCCCAACCCTCATCGCACTTCTCGCAGCAATCTCGGCACCAAGTCCTACAACCGAGACCATCCGCGAACCCTCTCCAAACATGACAGCTGATGCCACTTCAACAGAGGTTGGCCCCCAGACCCGTCCTCGGTGCACACAGGGGCCTGCTCCTCGTATTTGAAGCCGTTGTCCATGAGGCCTCCACTGCAGCCCTGGTTGCCGAACTTCTTGGAGCAGTCCACCAACCTCGTTGCACTCACCCTCTCGTGATATCTCATGCTCACGTTGCTCACTCTGACACATACTAGAAGTTGTGCTGAGGTCGCGGGCTGCTGCTCGGACAGCGAGACGAGCTTGCCCGTGGCGATGGCCCAGGCGCCCTCCAAGGCACCTGTAGTACCTTGCCCGGCCCTTTACAACATCTGAAGACTTCAGGCGATGCAATCCTGAGAAAGGGACCTGTTAAAGTTAAACCCAATCAAGGAAAACATCAACATCCCAAGGGCCTAGGCACTGAAGGCCCAGCAAGACCCGCACTGCTTCTGGTTCTTCACCGGTGTCACAGCCTTGCTGCGCCAGTCAACGGAGCTGGGCGCGGAGGAGTTGCCGGGCTTGTGAGTGCCAAGGCTCTTCAAGGATCCCCACTTCGATCCAGGCAGATTCAGCCCGAGCTTGCTCATCTTGAACTCATCCAGCGTCATGTCTGAGAACTCGTTCAAGCCTAGCTTGTAGGAGTGGCCCTTGGCGTTCTCGCGCGAGATGTAGTCAAAGTTGTCCGCGAAGGCGCCAAAGCGGGCCTGCTTCTCCACGTCGTCATAGTCCTTGTCGAAGTCCTTCAGGAACTGGTCGAAGGCCTTTTCGATGTCCGTCCGGGGCTTGTGGGCACCGGCGAGGCCCAGCACACCCAGGCACGCAAGACTCAGGGCTTTCACCATGGCAAAAACGCGGCACGTCAAGGAGTGGAAGACTGAACGTGTCAAACGGCTGCCACCTGATTTACCAACTTGGAAGAAGAACCTGCCATGTTCTGCTTCCTGCATTCAGGCCCTCCACAATCCCAAGATTTGCAAGGGCATACCTGAAGCTTGACATGTGCCGAGCCTCCTCTCCCGAGGCCATGGTGGTGCCGGATGCATCCTCGATGTTGGCCCGTGCCTCCTGCCCGTGTGAAAAGAGTAAATAGCAACAACTTTGCAGGAGGGTCCCAAACCAAATTGCAACTCTCACCCAAGCCAACCTTGTACAAACCTGACGTCTGTCCATGGTCCCAGGCTCGCTCCCTCTCTCTATCGCTCTCGTGCTTTGGGGTTCTTCTGCTAGCCGACAACATGTGGTCGATGTTTTTTTAGCTTGGCAGCACAGAACTAAATCGGTTTCAACATTCATTATCCCAAGTTCTGGGTTTCAAGCCGGGGGAGGGAGGGGGGGGGGGGCAATTTAGGCTTGGTCGGCTTCTCGTGCTCTGGAAATTAGGCAAGTTCTCGACTTGCTGACTTCAGTCATGCCCGCACAAAGCCCTAAATCAAATCAGCGTCGACGGCAGTACTGCCAAGGCAAAGACATAGAGGAATTGTCAGGAAGTGCTTGGGGTGGGCCTACGAATGTAAAACCCGGAACTTGCCCTAAACCCTACAGTGGCTGTTCTCGCCAATATCAAAGTTTGGGACTCCACACGCCTTCATCACTTGTGCGATGCCATTCCAGATCTTGGCTGCAACGGCTGTGATGCGGACTACCAGAGAGAAATGGGTTTACAGAGCTTTCGCTTTGAGATCTTCGGGCCTGGAGGCACTTCTGGGCACATGTATCAAGTGCGGAACGTGTCATTTTCAAGGTTTCCGATGCAAACCGACGAAATCACATAGGTTAAACAGGACCGGGACAAGAAACTGCGCAAGCCCAGCCAAAGCCCGACACCTGCCTAAACAATCTTGGCCAGTGCTGCCCGAACCCTCAATCACAAGCTCCCTCTTAAACTTAAACCTTCCTGCGGGTTAGGGCAGGTCGCAGCGTTGTCAGAAGACACGCGCGTGTGGCCAGAAAGCGTAACGAGGGCCTGACCGACTCATGCTGATCATTGAAGCTACAGATCCGACACATCAGCAAAATCCCTTGAAAGATTTTGACTCCCATGAAACTGGCTTGAAGTTGCTGCTGCATGATCCAGCCACCGCCGTCCATCCAAGCCCGCAGACTCATCCCAAAGCCAAAGCACAGTGGAAGACTCTGAAACGATTGAGATGCATCAATGCATCAACGAGCGACAATGATCTAGTGCTTTACCGGGCTTACAGTGCTTCAAAGCCCTTACTTAGTACTTATGCGTCATCTCCCTCAGACATCCACAACCTGCTGTGCCTTGCGGTTCTTCCTGGGTCAACTGAGTTTCACATTTTCGCGCACCGTGGCTTTGCTACCTCTTCGAAGTAAACCCAGCTGGGCCTTCCTCGGAACGGAAAAAAAGGTGCAACAACACCATGGGCCCTCAGATGCCCTCGGAGGATGAACCCGCCTTAACCCCGAATGCCATGCCTAAGCTGGAGCCTCTCCCACAAAACACCTCTTCTTCGCACCTTCTGCTGACTTGGGAGGGCCACCGCAAGTTCAAAGGAAAAGGGTACTGACGGGTTAGTGCGCTTACTTCTAGGATGTGCAAACTCTCTCGTAATTACCGGTGAGGCTTTGGGTGCCAGTGGATTCTACAAAAGCGTGCCGCAGGGTTTCGGGTTCAGTTGGCTCAGAACTTTATGAGAATCAGGCGCTTGGGAAGAGAACCCACATGAAGTGTACAGCAGCCTGGCGGAGGGGGTTCTTCTCGGCTTTTGCCGAGGGCCTGGCGACCGCAACCAAAGAGTGACGCGGCTTAAGATGATAAATCAGGCAACTCCGTGGCAGAATGACTTGAGCTTCAGACTTGGGATTCTACAGGCATCTCCTGACACAAAAGCTCTCCGTTGACCCAGCAACACCATCGTTTGCGGAACAAAGCGCATGACAAACAGCCAAGACCCCGACCCCAACTCCTACGCTCCGCGCTATGGATCACTTGTTGTCCCCAGCACCTGCACCCCCCCCCCCGCTGCCCCCCATCCACAAACAAGAAAACACGAAAACACAACTCAATAGAACTCAGCTCTCGGATAGACTCAAGTCCTCCACTGCCCTGTTGTAGTGGGGCGAAAACAGGAGGGAGTCATGCAAGAGCATACTCGACTCACCCAACCCAGCGTGAGACCTTATCGTACTCTAGCATTATACATGTTCTTTGTTTAAGCTCATGCAAAAATAGCATAGCCTTTTGGGAATAGCAAGCATTCAATGGCAACACGAAAGTAAGATGAGGCTAAGCTTACTTGGGCCTTGCAGCGTGACGTCACCGCGCTTCGCAGAGGGCTCTACCGGCTGAGACAGCACTTACGCTCACAAACTCTAGCTGCTTGTTTCAAGGCGTGGCGTTGCGGGTCTGGCGATGGGCTGGCTGCGCTGCTGCGCTCGCCATGGCGCAAGGAGGCGCAGACTGCGGTTGCGCAGATGAGCTGGAATCTGGAAAGAAGAGGCCAAGCCCTCAAGAAGGCCTGCCGTGCTGATAGGGACGACTACCTCGGCGCCCTTGCTGACCGTGCTCAGCAGGGTCATGAGGCTGAGGCTTACCGGGCCCTGTCTCGCCTGATGGGCCGGGTCAGGAAAAAGCCCTTTGCCCCGGCCGTGTTGCCCACTTTGCGCAAGGCTGACGGCACTCTTTGCAGTACGCCGGAAGAGGTGGTGCAACGATGGAGAAGTCACTTCTCTACGCTGGAAGCCGGGCAACCGGCTACCCCTGAGACACTCCTCGCCAGCAGCCAGCGCAAAACTCCTTGGAAAGGACCGGAGTGCGTGGGTGATCTACCGACGCTCTCGGAACTTCAAATCACTTTCGCTTGCGCGCCTCGCGGCAAATCCGCCGGTCCTGACGGAATCCCCAACGAGCTGGGGTTGGCCTGTCCTCAGCGACTTGCTGAATTGGTTTATCCCCTCTTGTTAAAGTTGTGCGTGCGGGGAGAAGAGGCGGTGGGGCTGAAGGGGGGAACCCTGGTGAGGCTCTACAAAGGACGTGGAGCGCACGACGAATGCGGCTCGCATCGCGCTATAATGTTGCTGTCGACCCTTGCCAAAGCCATTCACAAAGTGCTGCGCCCCAAAATCGCCGACATCTTTGTCAAGAGCACCAGTAAGCTACAGCTTGGCGGGAAGCCCGGATGTAGTGTAGTTTTTGGGTCTCATGTGGTCAGGACCTTTCTGCGATGGAGGGCGATGGCCGGGCAGTCATGCGCTGTTGTGTTTGCTGACATTGCTTCAGCCTACTACGCAGCGGTGCGACAGCTGGCGGTGGGCCATGACGATGCCGACAGCTCCATCGGCCTACATGCTGCCATCGAAGGCCTGAAGCTTTCACACGACGAGGCGGTGGCTTTGCGGCAGCATGCCCAGGAAGTTTGCGCCCTGCACCGTTCAGGGGCACCGTCCTGGACCCAACCAGGGGCACCGTCCTGGACCCAAGAACTCGCGCACGAACTGCACAGCAGCACCTGGTTCAACATGGCGGGCGACACTGAGCTTGTGGCTACGCATAGGGGAACGCGACCAGGGTCCAGTTGGGCCGACGTTTTGTTCGGCTGCCTCTTGCATAGGGTGCTTTCCCACCGCAACGCCTCTGCTAGGAGAGAGACAGCCGATGACTCGATCGACGCTCACGCCAACGTGCCCCTCGTGCCATGGGACGGGGTACACACTTTGGAGCCAGTGGTTACGCCTACCCAGCATCTCCCTCTGGATGATGTTGTCTGGGCGGACGACTTAGCCATGTGCTTGCAAAGCGACTCGGCTGACAGCATTGGTGTGAAAGTCAGCGCGGCAGTTAGTAGGCTGGACGAGGCCTTCTCGGAGCACGGCCTCACGCTCACTTACGGGGAGCGCAAGACCGCTGCTATGGTCTGCCCAAAGGGTAAGCGTAGCCGTGAGGTCAGGCGCGCGCTCTTTGGCGAAAAGCAGTCTGTGCTGGTCCTGCGCGAGAGCAGAGGCCCAGTTTCTCTGCCCCTCGTCGCCCAATACCCCTATCTCGGGGTTTGTCAGGCGCCATGCGGAGCCATGCAGGGGGAGCTCCACCGCCGGGTGGGAGCGGCTTGGGGCGCCTTTCGTGAGGGCCGACGGAGGGTCTACAAATCCAGACGCCTGTCCGTTAGTCGAAAGGGGCAAATCCTGCATTCTCTGGTCATGTCCAAGTTGCTTCACGGAGCAGGCTCCTGGCCCCCGCTGAATCACAAGGAAATGCAGACATTTGGCGGCACTGTCTTTAGTTTGTATCGGGCGATCCTGTGCATCCCGCACGGAGGTGAGCAGCACGTGTCGCTGTCTGATGCTGTTGCACGCACTGAGCTACCAAGCCCCGTGACGTTGATACATGCCGAAAGGTTGAGATACCTAGCCCAACTGGTCACATCGGGGCCTGATGTTTTGTGGGCCCTCTTGAGAGCGGATCGACCCTACGCCGATGCTATGAAAGAGTCCTTGGATTGGCTGACTAGAGCACTTCGCAACACATGCGCTGAGCTACAGGGCGGCGCCTCTTGGGACATCTGGACTGGAATCATGCGTGACACACCGCGCAGGTTTCGAGGGCTCATCAAGCGTGCACTTGCCTTGGACATTTGCCGCCACCAGTGCATTGAGGCCCTTGACGGCTTGCATAGGGCCATGCGCGAAATGGCCAATAAGGGGGAGCCTGTTGCCAATGCCTCTTTTGAGTCATGTGCCGAGGCGTGCGTGCCTTGTAAGTTGGCTTTCCCTACACGTGTTGCTTGGGCGGGTCATGCCGCACGAAAGCACGGATACCGCAACTCCTCTTTCTTGCTTGCGGAATGCCGCACTTGCCGAGGGTGTGGACGGACCTACGGGTCCATAGGACGCCTGAGGAGGCACCTGCAGTCCGTTTCCAGATGCCAGGAGCTCTGGGGATCCTTCGCGCCGACAGATCCCGATCCACAGACAGCGCCGCACCCGCAATGCCCGCCCGGCACATCACTAGGCACTTTTGTCCAGGTTGACGTTGACAATCGGGCAGTGATAGACAGTGTGCATGGAATGCATTCCCCTTTTCTCCTGCGAAGCCTGCAAGATGTTGGGGCGGCCGACTGGGAGGCCCTCTGGGAAGAAGTTGTAGGATGCATTGAGCCTCTGCCTGTCCTGCGGGCAACTGTCCGACTCAGAATGGACCAGCTTGGGCCGCTCAGTCCAGAATACGGCACGTTAGAACGGATTTTGCTGTCTCTGACACCTGCTGTGCGCTGGCCATGTCTCGGATAGCCCGCCATCCTGGGATCAGCCAGGTCGCTTGGTCTTTCACCTGGAAGGATGTCTGAAACGCTTCAGGCTCAAGGACCCGCCACCATACCGCCTCAGTGTGGAACACATCAGCAGCGTGCCCCTTATTCAGGCAAAAGCTTTCGTGTCCTGGCTGGCTGAGGTGTGCTCAATCACCAGGCTCGCTACTGAAACAGCGGCACAACACCCGGTGCTGATAGAGGCAAGTGACGAGGCCACTAATGCCTTGCCCCAGATTTCCCTTTGGTTGACGTCTCTGGGCTTTCTTAGGGGTGTTCAGGGTTTTCACAGTCCCGACCACTGAGTACCGAGGCTTGTTTGATTTTGCAGTTTCAGGCGGTTTTGCTGAACACGGCTTTTGGCCACGGCTGCCGGTTCTATGTCAGCATCTCCCCGCCGCCCGAGCCTACTGGATGTGCTCCTTGGGCAGTCTCACTGAATTCAAATGCTAGGCGTGCGTCGTACTACGACTCTACCGCTCAGAAAGAAAGAGGCTAAGCTTCGGCTCTTGCATGCCTCCTGTTGTAGAGCACCTCCCCTGAAACGCTTCCGATAAAACGTAAGGATAAGTTTGTGAATAAGCCTACTAAAGCCCTGGACCCTACTGACACAAAACGTTCTTGAAGCCGAAAAACTTGAACCGCCCCCCCCCCCCCCCATAAACCCCAATCAAAACCCTTAACCCCAAATATGATCAACGCCCTACACAAGCCCCAACGCCTCTTGTAACAGCCGATATCAAGTCCTAATTGCAGGCCTCATGCGGAGGCTCCGGTGCTGCAAGGGAGCTCCTGAAGGCAGGGCCATGTGGCTTTGAAGGCTTTGAGAGGGTTGAGGTCTTCGGAGCTTGAGGTTTAAAGGCGTTCAAGGGTTCTATAGGAGATTTGAGAGTTTGACTTTGTTTGGATTCAGGGTCTAGGTGCAAGGATTCAAGACGGGCTTAAGGGCTTAAGTTTTCGCTGTACACAAAGCGCCATTTCCCAACATAGGGGTGCCGGGTACCCCCAATACACCCCGAACTGCGATCATCCTTATATCATCGGACCCCCCCCCCCCCCGGAAGGGTTACAACTCCCTCTTTTTCGGAAGTATTTAATCAATTGAGATGAATTGGGTTCAAAGGCCCGGTGGCCACGCTCTAGTGGTGCCTTAGGGCTCATAGCTTAGGACCTTAAGAGGTTTCACTGTAGGCTTAGGGAGTCGTAGGACTCCATGGCTTATGGGGCTATGCAGCCAGTTCCCTGACTCTTCCTTCACTCATGAAGGAGTCACCTGAGTCTCTGAAGCTTCCACGTTTCTACAGGTTGTAAATCTCGTGCAAGGATTTAGGGTTTCGGGTTCGGGCGTTTAGTATTCAGGTCTTGACCTTCTCACTGCAACGGCTCCTAACAAGGCGCGCCGGTTCAAAAGCGGCGCGAAACCCCGCATGGCTGGAGAAGTGCTCTGGGCTCGGGGCTGGAAAGCTGGAGGGACCATGGGGTTGCATGGCTTCATGGTCCATACAGGGCTAGATTTCTATGTAAAAACACAAAGGCACTCCAGCCCTCAAACTTGAAGGTATTCATAGAGTTTAAGGGTTCAGGCGGTCCAGGTTTGGAGGCACAGAGCCTATGTAGGGCTGTCAAGGATTGAGCCAGCGGCAGCAGCATGTGAGCCTTCGTCGGGATTAGGATTCACTAGATTAGCGTCGACGGTGCCCCTGAAACTCCGACAATCCTCCGCATTACACAGAGTTTTACTCGAAGCGTCCCACCAATGCCCAAAACCCTGTACCCGAATCGCCAAGCCCTTTCACCTACTAAAACCCTTCATAAGCCACAAATCTCTGAACCCCAAAGCAACCGGCATGCCGAGAGCCACTCTAAACCCAACAGGGGTCGATTTAAGTGCTGCGTTTCACGGGGCTTGAGCCCACACACATTTAAACAAAAAAAACTGGGTCCCAACCCCCCCCACCCCCCCCCCTGCCCCCAAAGCAAGAGACAACTGAAAACGATGAGAAGTTCCGACATCCTGACTTTCGTCCGTCCGGTAGAGTACACAGAAAGCCAACGATCCACCTTCTACCAACATGCCCTACTTCAAAGCCCTCCGCCCTATACGCCCTACAGACGCCTTAGGCCTATCACATTCCTCCGTCACCTTCTTAAACCCGCAGCTGTCGACTTTCTGGGGCTCTGGCCCCGGCTCTGCCAGCTCCAGAAAGAGGCGCTCCACCTGCGTGGAGGCTGCTGACGGCATTGTGGCAGCGTCGGGGTCTTAGAGCTTGGGGTCCAGGCTGAACTTAGGATTGAGTGTGAGGATGCACCGGGCATAGATTCAAGCCAGGAGGAAAGGGAGGGGCAGACTCGTCGCAGTGGGCATCCGGATCCTGAGCCGCATCCGCAAAGCAAGTACCCTGAAACAGCAAAACGTAGCAAGCCCCACCAAGTTTAGCCCCATCACATAATCCTCCAAGCTGCCTCTGCAAATTGCTGGAGCTCTCGCAGCTCCTCTTGACTGAACAAGTTGAGATCCAACTTTTGTGTTTGGGTTCGGTACCCATGGTCTATGGGTGGAGTCTGGCAGTCGTGCAGTCATGCGTGACAGCCAGGATCCCAAAGAGAGAGGCTTCGACAACCAAAGCATTCTGCACATGTCGTTGTACTTTGACTCGGTTCACTTTGTTTGGGTTGCATGTGGGCAAAGTTGAGGGGCTTTGTGAAAGATTGTAATATGCTGCTCAAAGCGGATGATGTAGGGTCTTGAAGCGAGCTGAAGATCAGAACCGTGCTCAGGTGAGTCGACAGAGAGGAGAGTCTTTGAGCGTGCTCAGACTCTTGGGATTGCAGCTCCTGCTCGGCCAGCCATGTGCGCAGCTGCTCCTGGGTGCGAAGTCACTTTTCAAGCTGAAAGAAATGCGTGTTTCTGTTGAAGTTCATCTCGGGAAAGCACTGCTTTAGCCCTACTGCAAACCGGAAAACCACAAAACCAAATCAACATGTACTCCAGAGAAGGGGGCGCAGGAAAGTGGAAACACTTCGCAGTGCAGTTTGCTGGAAGTTTCTCCCGCCTCAGAGGGTTGGACTTTGCTTCTGTTTCTTTAGGCTTTGGGAGGCTTGCCTCTACCGTTCCTGCCAGTGACGTGCATGGCACTTCCTGGGAGTAACTGGAGCCCGCAATTGGCCCAATACTGGCCACCCCCCAAGTTTGGCTGCATCCAAAGCATGAGGACAATTTACAGCCAGGGATTAGGATCGTACATTATAAGCCGACAACTTCTCACCCAAAGCCGAGGAGCGAGGTTCGCACGCATGGCATCCTCTAGCCTGCAAGACAAAAGTCTCGTGCTGGCTTCCCTGGCTTAGGGCCTTCTATGGGTAGTTCTGTAAAAGTAGGGTCCCTGTTTGCGTCCTATATGTATACCGCTACACATATATATATATATATATATATATATGTGTAAATATAAAAACTATATATATATATAATTATATATATATACATATATTACGGCACCCTTAAAAGAAGGACCCCGAAAGGTACCCTAATTCAGAAAACTACTGTGGTCGACTTAAAGGATTCTGGGAGCACTGATGCACTTGTTGACGGAAGAGGGCCTGCTAGGGTCCTGTTTGCGAATACGGACTGGGAACGCAAGAGATTGCTGCGATTGCTGCGTGCCGAGCCACTCTGCAGTCTGAGGACCGTCCCCATTCCCATTCACTGCAACGACCTGACCATGAGCGCTCAACAAGTTTGAGCCTAAGTTGGGCTTCGTAGGCTTTGTCAGACATCGGCCGGTCTAGGACTTTGTTCATGAAGCATGCATGGCTTCAGCCCAGAACGTGTAAACCGTGGAATGGCCCAAGCTGGCTCCGCAACAACTACGAAGAACCAAGGCCGTAACTAGGATCTGCTAGAAATGCCGAGCCCTCAACGGTCCTAAGCACGAATCTCGAAAACCTGAACCAGGCCCAAGAGTAAGCTAGGAATAAAAAAGGTACCCTTTTTGGTTTAAAGGGGCTTATAAGTGAACGCCTGAACCCGAAAACAAGGGAATAAGGGTCTACTCTGGGTCCGAGTGTATGAAACTCATTCCAGAAAACCATCTGGCACCCGAAGTTGCTACGCGAAAATCCCAGTGCCTTCAGTTTTTGCCTGGGAAACGCGTGCCCGTCCACCTGCTCCATGGGCCACCTGCGTCTCCGGCACTTGGGCTTTAGAGCTTGGAGCTTGCGCTCTGGGGTTTGGAAGGATTCCCCGGTGCCCCTGTCCCGGCGCCCCTGTCCCGGCGCATGACAAATGCCTGCGGCGCTGGAGAACAGTAGAATGAAAGGGAGACAGTAGAATGAAAGAACACTGAATGCCCAATCACCATTCAAACCCCCATGAAGCCGCCGAATCATTGCAAGTTCCTCAAGTGTAATCATTTTCCAGCTACCTGTTGAGGCTCGGACACAGCAGGCTTGCCATGCGACAGGACAACTCTTAACCAGGCTCGGCTGAGAGATGTCTGCGGAGGCCGGCCAGTCTGAGTAGCGTTGAATGTTAATCGTGTATGACTTGGGCCTGGCTTGGCCGCATTCCAGCGCTTGGGTCGCTCTGTATCTTCCTAAAGGTCACCATCCGCTCTGATGCCCGTCTTTGAATTTGTGGACCAATCACCATTCGAACTGCTGTGCAAGAGCAAGCAGCAAACTCACCACACAAGGAGCACAAGGACTTCTTGCTACTTCTTGCTCCTACCACTTCCCTCGAACTCTTACTGCACGAAGCTCTCGGGAACACTCCTGGTTTACGGAAACCTAAAGAAGCGTCATACAAGTTCATCTTGAAACTTACAGGGCAAAGCACTGAAGCTGGTGGATTGTGAAGGACACTTGTTGTAAATACAGTTCTTATAGATCGAGGCATTGCGAGGGCTTCCCAATCCTTCCCGAGAAGGCTACGTGGAACCGAAGGCGCCTAGTTCCATTCACACATGAAACTCTAAACAGTGTTGGGCTTTTGGGTCTGCGGGGTTTCGCATTCGAAGTGCACACAAAGCGTTGCCAAAAGGCTCAATCTACCCTAAGGCGCAAGCCCGCTCGAACCCCCGCTACAGGTTGCCCACAAGAAATGCTAACTTCTACAAGCCTTAATGCTCGGACCTCGAGGCGCATTTGGGTTTAGGAAGCTCATCTCCAGAAGGCAGCGCAGGCACATGTATTCTAGGTGTGAAGCCCAAGAAACGCCTCCCATATCATGACGAACCTACATCGAACTGGGGCAGTTGAATTCTCATCAACGTCGTCACGCGAAGCCAAGAACACCACTTCTTCCGAATGCTTCCACTTCTTCCGAATGCTTTCTCTGGTGTTCAACCCTTATGGACCCGGCATAAACATGCATAAAACCTGTGCGCTCACAACCCAAAAGCCCAGGCCCGGCACAGGTGCCCGTCGTGGCCTACGGAAGCGATCCGGTGAGGGTCCTCGACAAGGTGCTTTCTTCAAGTCTTCAGGGCCTCTTGGGAGGTTCTTGGCGCGAGCGTGGCTTTGGACCGGGTTGCTGTTGCTTGTTGGGATTGCGTGCCTTTGCTCACTCTAGCATGACTGCAGGTGCTGGCTCTGGCTTCTACCTTCCTTGCGAGGGATGTACGGCATTTGCGTCCTGGAGGGAGTGAGGGAATGAGCCCCCGAACCTAAAACTATTTCGAGCTGAGCCAATTTACGTGTAGTCGTGTAGAGATACAGAGCATGGCCAGAATGAAGCCTAAGTTCTTTCAGCATGAAGTGTTGCTGAAGTGCCGTCTCATGAAGTCCTAGCAAGGTTTCTCAAGACCTCGGTCAGTACACTCCGAGCCTTTTCGTCTGTTATCAGACTGCGCAGAAACGGCTCATGCCCCTGGCTGCTGGCTGTGGCCGCTGTAGCCACTGTCGGACGACAGTTCCTCAAACAAGGCTGGATACAAGAAGGAATCCCAGAAGCATGCACCTGCATAGACAGTAAGGCCCGCAGGGACCAGGCCATAGGCAAAGGCATAAAGGGGCCACACTGGCACCCCGCGCTTCGCCAACTTCAGCAGCTTGGTGGCCCCGGCCTGAGGGTCCTCGAGAGGACAACAGGACAACAAAAACAATCCAGGTGTTCAGAACTGTTCAGATCTCTCTAGTCTGTAATCATTCCAATCCGTAGGGCCGTAGGGGTTTCGTGGAGAATGTTTGGCGCCCGCTCCTCGGGCTTGCACATGTCAGGCACTCGGCGGAGCGCTGTGACCAAGTGCTCACTCATCGGTGCACTGCAAACAATGGCGACGTCAGCGTCGGGCACGGAGCAGACGGCCACTTGCTGTGCCAGGTAAAAGCTACGCTCGTCGATCAAAACGTCATGTGCTACCGGACAACACCGCTCCAACTCGCGACGGATCTCTTCCGCGTCCAAGGGCAGCGCTGGCGACAGGTGGTCGCGCTGCCTCTGCAAGGAGTAGCCGGCAAAGGACAACAGGCCCTGGAGCAGCTTCGGATGCCAAAGCCGGTGAGCCACCCGGCTCCGAGTGGCTTTCTGCGGCCGATCGATGGGAAGGACGGCCGAGCCAACCTTCCGTGCCGCTTCTAGGATCGGCGCAAGCTCATGTTGGAGAAGCCCACCATGGACGTTGCCAAGCAGGTCCAGCTTCCTTGGCTCTTTCTTTGATTTATGGGCTCAGGGCTCAATAGTGGGGCTGCGGCTTTGCGCTTCAGAGGTTTGGGATGGCCATCGTATCCTGCATCGCACATCGCTGAACATGAGCCATTCTCCTGGTTTCGTTCGCGAAAAAAAGACAGGCTCTTGCCAGGAACCGTCCAACATCCTCAAGTCTAGAGTCTAGAGTCTCGTGGCGATCCCCAAGCACGATCAAGCACGTAGAACATCTCTCGGCTATTTTTCTTGCCTTGAAGAACCTGTTCTCCTTACGATGCACGTCAGCGGCCCCTACTCACACTTTGGGAGCCAGCACCCACCTAAGCCTCAAAGTGCACACAACCATGGTGCCGTGTAGACGCGAAGCAGTCCAAGACCACTTCAACCGCATTCCAAGAGCGCACCAGGAGCTATCTAAGATGACCCCATAAAACAATTTGACACCAAAAAGCACCCCAAGGCCAGCGCCTAAAACGCGACGACACTTCTGCACTTCACGAGGAGCATGGGAACGGGACCGAGGTGAGGGCACCGCTTTTGCAACACAACAGCATGCTACATGCCCCTAGAATGGGCGCCCGAAGCCAACAAGAACCCAAAGTTCGGGAAAGCCCTGCCACGTTTTTGCGACAATCAACGGAGAAACCCCCTAGGCCCTGAAATTCCCAAAAACACACGCAAGGATCGATGGCGGTCGCAACGGCAAGCCCATCCGCATGGATGTCAGGAGTTGCCCGTAGCGTAGCTGGCACAGCTCGACCATTACCTGCAGCCAGAGAGCAGTTTAGGGTTGAAGGCCCAAGTTCTTCTTGGGGCTAAGTAGCTGGGAGGACGAAGGGCTTTGGGCCTGTAAGCATGAGTCTACGTAGAGCGTTTGGGAGTGTACACATAAACAGGTGCAAGCAATCACAAGCAATCCTGCTCATACGGCAAGCAACTCAATTCGTGGCTAAGCCATACACTGAGTTTCCTAACACCTTGAGCCCCAACGGTGTGGGGCCGAGAGGACTTCATTGGCTTCGACCCCATCTTCTTCGGAACCCACCTCACCTGGCGTGGAGCCATTGCGCTGATGGCCTGGGCAGCTTCCTCGCCTCCTCCCGGACCCGACAGGCGACCGTGCCTGCAGTTTGGGGCTCAGAGCCTAAGGTTCCGGGTTGAGGGATTGGAGCTCGAAGGTATGTTGGGTTCGAGGGGTTGTAGGTACTTTCATTAGACAGGAGCAGCCGCTAAGCCCTATACCCTATACTGAGAAGCTCCAAGAAAGTAGCCAACTGCCAGCTCAGCTCGCGACCTAGAGGCAGGATGGGCAGAATTGTCAAGGTTAAGCGGCTCTGGTCAGCGGCAAGGACCTCTAAGCGAATCGCCTGTTTCGGCAGCGTGCTGGCGGATGCAGCTGCACGCCGACATGCTACCCGCATGGCAGGATCTATCGGCGCTTCGGGAGTAGGCTGGGAGAGGGTCTTGCAGGTCTTGTGGGGTTTTCATCGCCGGGGCTGGCAGTGCAAGTAACCAGAGGGTCTGCATCTACAGATTCCTCTAAAGTCGATTGATATTGTTTAGGACCCCGTTTTCCATCAATACGAATCCAAGGCATGTCGAATATCGTTGCTTCGGACGGTGACAGTCTTATACGCTTTGTGGGGACGGGCGTATAGAGCTGTTCTTCTCCCACACCTCCGACAGTAAGTCCCGGAATGCCACCAAACTTAGAAGGGAAAACGAGCAACGATGTCTTCCGGTGTGGAATGAGAATCGCTCAAGGTAAACCGGAAAATTACCCTCCACTAGTTCATTTCGTCTCAAAGGCTACACATCAGACGGCGCACCCAGGCGCCAGGGGCAGAAACATACTCTTTTCCGGCGTCGCGCGTGTGTCGATGCGCCGTCGCACCTCCTCGGAGGCATCGGACGCCTCCGGATCTTCACAGCTCGTGATGTTCCGCTGTGTACACAAAGGACACGACAACCACAGACACTCTCGTATAGGAAAAGGCTTTGAAACTATGGAGTGTTAGATGTGCAGGATTGGCCTCTAAGCGTGGATGTACGTGGTTTGAGGCAGCTTCATGCCACAATATTCGACAAGCAGGTCGGGGGTGGAATGAAAACATAGGCCCATAGGGTCTGTTGAGTCTGTCGCTGCAAGCGTTCATCCGTTCATGCTGTGGAAGCTTTCAGGATCCGTGCAGACATTCAGAAGCACCTCCTTGATAAGGAAGGCGTTGCCATCTGCACCGGCCTCGGAGCGACACCCTTTGAAACTTTATGATGCTAGAGCTTTTGGGAGCGAAGGAATCGGCGGGGTCCGGAGGGGGCGGCTCGTCGCAGGCTTGATACTGCCCATTTCTGGCCGCGCGCAGGCACTCGGGATGCTGTTCGCAGGTCGCACAAAGGCTCCAAACGATGCAAATAAAAGAATGCATGTCCAAAAGAGGGCAGCGGGAACAGGTGCGACATGATGCAACACTTTGTCTGCATTCCAAGCGTTGGGCATCCATAAACAAGCTGCAAGCTCTCTGTTTAAAGTGTAGCATCGCCAAGCAATAGCAATTACAATTGTTGCACATGCTGTTAATTACAGCTAGTAATGCTACTAATCGAAGTAATCGTAGTTATAGTAAAAGATGGTTAGTAACAGTAAACATAACAGAAAATATGACAAGTAAATTAGTCGACTAGAAATAATGCTAGTAAAGTAGCGATAAAACAACTGTGGTGATGTCCATACTATTAATAGTCACGATCCCAGTCAGTAGAGTGGCAATGATATTTAGCAGTACTACCAGAAGCAGTCAAGTACTGCTAATAGGACAAGTTCAAGTCCATGGTAATGGTAATTATACTAGTAAAGGTAATCTATAAGTTATGATACCAAGACTAAGGGCCAGCGGACCGGAGGACCAAGCGGACAGATGGAGAGGACCGGGAAACTGCAGGACCAACGACCGGGCGCCCTTACCAGAAACCCAGGCCCCTGCGAAGACAAGCACTGTTCTGCTTTGATTAGATGCGAATCTCGCCGCGATGGCACGGCACAGCCATGTCTGAAACCTCCGAATCAGATCAGAGCTGCGGACCAGGATTCCTTGAGGTTAACTGCTTAGCCTCCTCAGATCCCGGCCGTGAAGCCCATGACCTGCAACGGAATCCGACGCCCGGATGTGTCGGGATTCAGAAGGCTCAGGTGTTGAGGCCCGCCTCCTGCAGGTTAAATTGCATGGATCAATCAGCGACTCAAGGCAGCAGCCAACTCGAGCAACACATTTCTGGTTGCTTTTATGGACTATGGCACGGCTGCAGAGCCCTGAAGCCCTCAGCAGCACACCTGCTGCCAAACCCAAGCCTGCAAAACAAACACGCCACGTTATAGGCCTCAAGAGCAGCATCCCGCGGCAAGCCTCGCGAGCAGACAGGTGCCACGCAACATGTTGCAGTCCGCGATGCTTGTCGGGCCTTAGGCTAGACAGCTGCGCCTGCCCGAAAGCCCCAAAAGTTTCCCACAATTCAACGAACGCAGGGCAATGAGTCAACGAGCCGTTGGCAACAAGCCCTAAACCTGCCGTTGGGAACAAGCCCTAAACCTCCTGAATTACGCACTCGGACGCAAGCCTAAACCTGGAACACAAGTTTGAGGACCCCAACCTGAAAGCCGAAATCCCTAAAACTCTGAGATACCTCTTCGGGTTTCAGGTTCTTTGCCTCTGAACATCTCAGCGGAGGCGGCGTCCAAGTGATTTGTCACGACGAAATCCTCTGGGCTTACGGAGGGTCGGCAGTTTAGGGTTTCCTTAGAGTTTCCTTCGATTCGTTTGCGCAAAGCGGACACTGCTTTTCATGCAGATCCCCTTGGAACGGACACACGAAGGGAATCCATCCATGAGCCCAGAGGCAGGAAAGTACGTCCTTGCCACATACAGTTTTGTTGTGTGACAAGGTGCAAATCAAGCCTCACAAAGTGCACAGGACCAGAATGAACACGGATGCGCCCAGGCGAGGGTACGATTTTGACCCAAAACACGGGTGCCGTGCCGAAAATAGCAGCATGTGAGATGAGAATGGGTACTTGTGAGTACTTTATCATGCAAGTTAGGCGATAGTATCGGTAGTCATTAAGCGAAAGATCGGAACGGCCCTCCGTGGTGCCCCACCTTGACCCTCCTTACCTTCTCCTTATCTGCCTTACCTGAAACGTTGGAACCCCCATAATGTTGCCACGTCGTTTGGGGAAACAGCCGCATGCTTCATTGGGCAGGTCATCGCTTGAGGCACTCTTTCTGAGCAGGGCTGCCACATTCTGGTTGCAAGGCGGCTCTCGAATCTTCAACCGGCCATGCTATCTGCACAGTCTACAGCTCCATTCTGTGCAATGTGATTTGGAAAGCAGCGCCAGACCAAAGCAGCCAAAGTGAAGGTGCTCGAGCAGAAAATGGCTCCGAAAGCTGTCGCGGGCAACCAGTGTCGGAGCAACCTAAACAGGGCCCCTTCCACAAGTGCGACGCACACGAAGAAGCAAACGCCAAAACAAGCCAGCATCAGCGACAACAACTTGTCCAAACTCCTAGACCTTCTCGCCCGACGCAAGAGGTAAGCCAACTTGTAGAGGCCCGCAAACAATGCCGGGACCACGCCCAGCCAGTAGGCAAAGCCGCGGCACAGCATCCATATGCCCGTATCGACATTACCTCTACGCATTGGCTTAACAGAAAAGTCGGCAAATGTCCACAAAATGCACGGTGAGGCTTGAACTATGCGGAGGTAGGAGATCAGTGCTGTTGAAAGCTGGCTATTCAATGTATTTAGCACCTCCGTCCGGACAGTCCTCTCGAACTCCTCCACACATCCGAACCAACTGCAAATGCACTTTTGCACGACTGCTCGGTCACAATGAAGTGACTGACCAGAGACCGGATGAACGTGGCCAACAGAGCAGCACCAGGCCATAGCGTCGTCGAGCCGAAAGTCCCGCAGCTCCTGCGACAAGTTCTCGACTTCTCGGCAATACCGGCGAGCTAATTCGGCAATCCTAAAATGGACCAGCACAGTGACGAGTCCGAGAAGCAGCCAAAATGGCAGAATCGGGCCATTGTTTTCGGAAGTGACATCGGCCAGATAAGCGGAGACGTATGCAGCTCCAGTCGCTGAGATGAATGCGAGACTGGCAGCTGCCAGCAAGGGACCCAGGAGCGTTGGCCTAATGATCAGGTGCGGCTTCTGCCCCTCTGGGCGGCTGTGCAAGAAGGCTGCTATCTCGAACAGGCACCACAAGCCTCCACTGCTCTTAGGCCCGGCCCCTCAGTACTACAAAACACTACGAGTAACAGTCCTAACACCAGCAAAACCAGAAAACAAATCATTCGAGGTCTCTTTCGAGTCTAGAAGCGCTTTTGGTAGGTCTTGTCCCAAAGTACAAGCATTGAGTCCGAACTCTTGAGTATGGCGCCAATGCTGAGGAGGCCCTCTGCCTTCAGCTTTCTGTCCGAGTCATCGATGCAAAGCTTATCCACAAACACAGCCTCTTGCCGCCGCCACAGCAAGAACCCTTGTCCGTACGTCACCAAAGCGATCGCAAAGCAGCAGGGCACGGCCCTCTCAGATAAAGTAGAGACCATGTGGTCAAGGCTTGGTATTTGTGAGACATAGAAGAACATGGTCACACAGAAAGCCAGTATGGTGCTAAGGACCGCAGCCGGGGAGGCATTCTGAATGAAATAGAGCGTGATGACCTTTGCCGACGTCGACCCGTGCCAGCTGTGCGACCAGAACTGCATCTTGTGCGCTGGTTTGCTCATGGAGAAAAAATCATGCTCAATTCCCCGGAAGGCAGCACCAAAATTTTGCAATGCTTGGAACGCACGAACGGAACGGACAATCTCTGGTCGCGTGGGTCTCATGTCAGACATTGCCTTGGCAAGCTTCTCTGAGCGATCCTGAGGGAAGAGGGTGAAAAGCGTGGTCATGTCTGCAGAGCTGTTCTTGTTGACGTCTCCAACCCCGGACTCAATGTTGTCTTCACTGCCTTTCGCCCTGACATATCCCGGCTGTTGCTCCAAAGCCCCTTCGTGAGGCACCTCTTCATTGACATCAAGGACATGATCGGCAGACTGGAGATCCATGTATCCGAAAAAAGAGGTGGGGTTGAGACATGTTGAGACTGAGCCCGCAGCCATTCAGGAGTCAGGGTTGCCGTATGTCAAAACTAGGTGAACGAGCCGAATGGTCTGGAGAAAGTCACCCTCACACCAACTCCGCAAATAGCTGGCTTAGAATGGTCTTTAGACCCTCCCCTCCTAACAGGACGTTGCAACTCCCAACAAGTGGGCTGGGCGCGCGTGGCCAAACTGAGCCCCGCAGAACTCGCCTCCATCAGCTTCGAGAGCTGCGCGAAAAGCTCAGCGTCCTGGCCAGTCTCCTGCACCTCAGAGGGCCTACCTGATGGGTTGTCTTTTAAGGTGGGTCAACAGGTTTCAAGTCCCAAGCTCATAAAAAGTCTCTGTTTATACGCCACATGGCTTTCGCTCCATCGTGCCTCTCTCTGCCGGCAATCACCTACTGGGTAACGCCACAGCATGCAGTAGCGGTTTGCTTCTCAAGTCTGGAGAACCCGAGTCAGATTGGGATTCAGGATTTTCAGGCATGCCTCACTCAAACCGGACCCACTGCCTCCCGAGCCCTTAGAACCAGGGCACTTTTCGCAGTCGATTAAGGACCGCCTTTGATTTCTCTCGCACACCTGGCATCAGAGAACATTTTGCCTTTGGGGTTTCAGCTTCCACAACAGCATCGGCGTAGTGCTACGATCTGGCAATCTGCGTTACAAGAGAGTTCCAGGCTTAAGCAGCGACGTCTTGGAGTCTTGGATTCGTTATGTATGTGAGTGCTTCTTTGTTTGTGTGTGTGAGAGAGAGTCTGTGTGGGCTATAACAAGGGTTCTCGCATATCGAACGTACACATGCACAAGACGGCACTTCGATGCTCATTTTGGTGGCTTGCATTGCTTTTGGACGCTACATTGTTGGACTTCGCTTCTCTTCTAGGCGTCAGACGAAAGCTGAGTAAGGTGAACTGGGGTAACAGTGAATGGCCAAGGCTGAATAGCGCTTCTCAAGACCCACGATCATCGAAATACGCAAAAACCCTTCTGAACCCACCCCCGCCAAGCAAGAACGCAAACCCTGCATATTTCAGAAGCCTCAATCATACTTGAAAGCCTACGCCGGAGGACGAATGTCTACTTGCCGCCCCAACGCTGCGATGGGCTGCTTCTACCTAGCAACGTGAAGCCCTGGGATCCTTACTGGAGATTCAGGCGGGACTGGGCGTTGGGGCCAGCATGCCTCGCAGCAAGAAGGAATTCTCCACACCTGCCAGGCCCATGACCTGCAACACCTGGTTTCAGTCGGGGCCGGGGTTATGATCTTGATTAAGGGTGTTGAGGTAGAGGGGGGAGGTAGGGAGCAGGGTGGGGGCGGCGGAAGAGCTTGAGGAGGGGGGGGGGGGGGTGGCGTGAAGCGCCAAGGGCCTACTTGGCTGTTCAAAGGTCCAGATGAAAGGTCTTCTAAGCCTCCAAGCTCGAAATCCTGGATTCCGAAAGCATTTACCGCCTATAGGCCCCAATTACATCCCATGGGTGACCCCACCGTTTTCGCTTCCAGCTTGCGCAGGATGGCACTGGTGCGCTCGTCCAGGTCCTGAGATGTCTGAGAGGCGTGCAATCAGATTACAGCACCGTGGGGAGGCTTGAGGCGTCGGGGGTTGATTCGAGCGTGGGCCGGGTTTCGGTCTTCGTGCTGGTTAAAGGATACTGCCGAGGCTGTTTCCAGTGACATCTCAAGCTGAAATTAACTTGCCATGATCCAGACGGGAAGGAGGCTAACTGCCAAGCCCGCGTTCTGATGCATGAAGATAAGCATCATGCTGTGAAAGAAACCTCAAGCACCCCAAACAGGCCCCAAACCCAAAACCCTGGACCTGCAATTTGGTGTTCTTGAGTTCGGGCTGACTCTATGCGAGCATCGTTCAGCTCGATGAAGGTGTCCACGTGATGAGCGAGACCCGGAAGCGAGTCACTGGCCCTGACCAACTTTCTTTCAAAGGTCATTTGTTAAGCTGTTAGAGACGTTTAGTTTACGAAGTTTACCCAAAGCCTGGAGACTAAGCCCAAGAAATGCCAAGACTCAGGGGTTTGCCTGTGCATCTCGGGGTTCAGGGTTTGCCTCGATTACTTGGGGATGTGATTGCTCGCCTGATTTGGGGAGTTACTTTTGCGGGACAAGAAGATGGCTTTCACGGACAAGGTCGCACCAGTCTCAGAAGCAACGCAGCTTTGAAGGGTAGTCAGCCGTTTCATACGTGATTATGTTACGACCACCCGTATCTGTATGCATGGTCCCCACTGCAAACCTTCATACTGCAAACCCCTTGAGCCCTGCGGCAGGGGACCTAAGACTAACGGTGAGCTCCCACAACCATAAGAAGAGAGGTCAAGTCTGCGGCCTCCGTCGACTTCGGCTTCGGTCGCGCTTACTTCCGCCTGGGCGTTGCTGACATCCGTGTACAGCATAAGTCGAACCCCTAAGCCCACCGCGCTCGACGAGTGGAAAGTACGAGTAGTTTGCGCATCAACGCCCATCCATAGGCTTCCCGATTCAGTGGCATGGATGATCAGGCTACGGCTATGGGTCCTCGTGGTGCTTTTGCGCAGCCAATTAGAAACCCAAGCCCACTGACCTGTTCTTTCAAGTAGTCAGGCACGTACGCTCTTATGCAGCAACTCCCCATCATGAAATCACAAATCCCAGTCTCGACCCTTTCAATCCAGACCGAACGGGCCCTGAAGTAAACTCTCCGCTTAACCCACCCCGGTCGCCTCGTGGGGGCTCGCCGTCCCCCCGAGGCAGCACCGCCTGATAAGGTCTTGGGGGAAAGGTCCGTGCATGGTGGAAGGCAGTTCGTTTTAAGAAGCAACACCATGTGACAGCGTGGGGGATAAGGCCGTGGAGGGGTAACACCATGAGGGTAACCTCATGGGGCATCATGGACCAGTACCTCAGTAGCTTTCAGGTGCATCCGGTGCATCCTGCAGCCTTCTCTTGGACCCTGAACTCCCGGTCCTCCATGGCCGCTTCGGCCTTGGCAGCCCAGATTCCTCGGCTCCGGAGAAGAATGCGAAATAAACCCGAGTCTCAACGAGTCATGTTCTGAGAGTGCTGGCTTGAGAGCTTCTGGGACAGAGAGCGGACTCATGGTTTAGGCCGGGCAACGCGTGCGAACCTCCAGTTCCGCTTCGCCACGGTAGACCGGACCTCACAAGCGAAGTCCGTGCTGCAAGCCTTACTAACGTTCCTAAGCCTTTCGAGCCTCCTCAACCTCAAATCCACTACTCCCCGAAACCCTGAAGACCTGCCAAGTGTTTTGGAATGGCAAGCCCCGAAGTCCCCGAAGTCTCTCGAAGCTCAAGAATTTGCTGACGCACCCCACGCCAAACTGCGTCAAGAGTGTGGAGTGCGGGGAAATTTCTTGGAGGTTGTGCAAGTTAGGGTTTTTGTTTGTTTAGTCAGGAAAGAAGCTCACATCCCGAGACCGATGCCGGCAAGGAAGCGCAGCGCGGAGGTAAACCCCATGACCCGCAACGCCTCGAGCCGCATCGGGGCTTTATAGCGTGATCAAATTTTTAAAAATGCTTTGATTTTGGAAGAAATCGGCAAGTAGGGCAAGTTTCAGATGGCTGGAGGCGCAGGTTCCCATGTCTAGGGCCGTTACCCTCGGTGAGTTATAATACCCGGCGAGTTGCAGTAAGCCCTCCCTTCCATTTGGGGCGTTAGGTCATCACCGCTCATAGTGTAGCAAAAAAAGAAAGGAGTCAAAGAAAGGGATGCCGTTGTTGAGGGTCTAGAAGTTTTGAGGAGTCTATGAGTATTGTCTTCGGCGTGCGAGGAGCTCAGCTGTATGATTCTGCACCTGCAGGCTCTGCATCGCCCAATGAACTAACCATGACTCAACGATGATCTCCAGGAAGAGTCTAGACGTCACTGCGTTTGCGTGCAGGTCAGGAGTTCGGCCCCACACGTGCCTGCTACTACACGTAGAAAGTGCCTCTCGCAACTTCCCGCAGAGTTTCTAGGAGCAGAGAAGTCTACACCTAAGCCCCATAGGTTCTACGAGTACTTCCTGTGACTCCCGCGAGCTGAACATTTGCACCTGCGGCCGGTCGAGGCCCTCCAGTGCCTCACGCGAGACCTGCAGGTATAGGTATGTTTCGGCTTTAGGATTAAAGGTTATCTGAGGTTTAGGGTTTGGGGCTCGTCCGGATTTCAGATCATCAAGGCAAAAGGCAAACTTTCAGCAAGTAGACTTTGGTCATTTAGAACAGCAAGTACCCATAGCCTAGCTGCCTGGCCTCACTGAGCTTGTTGGCTGCCGCGAAGCTCTCCAAGAGCCTCAGGCAAGGTGTTCAAGAGGAACTGGTTTCAGTGGCTACTCAGAGTCATTCTTAGAGCGCTGAGAGTTGAGGAGGCAATGGCTTTGTGCGTATTAGGCTGCCGAATGAGTTCTGGTGTGTCACTAAGCTGAGTCCAGGGTCTCACTCGGGACTTGCAGTTTCAGTCTGCAGGGCATCCAGCTTCGGTCAGAGTCAGTCACGCATGTGGACTCAAATCGTCAGACTGCTTCCAAGGCACTTCACCCAATCCTGCAGGGGCACACAAACGAACACTTTGGCAACCAGCGTGGAATCGTGAACAACCAAGCAGATCCCGCGATTTGCCCAGCTGGGCTGGGAAGGAGCTCAAGTTAGAAGGAGCACGGCTTCTACACTCAAGTCAGGCATGCTAACTACCTGCTGGCATGCGTCTTTGGACTCGCTATGGCAGACAGAAGACGACTCGCCCGACAACGGGAACGTGAAGGCTAACTATTGTCTCGCTGTCCCTCCCTCTGTAGTTTTCCTCAAACATAGAAGTTGCCGTCAAGCTGAGGCCTATTTTGACAGTCATGCAACAGTCCTGCCGAAGCATCAGCACGTGTTGCTGATGACTACTCCACATTGAAGCGGTCCCAGTTTAAACGAGGGTGTAGGGCGCGCGAAGCACGAACCCCGAAAGAACAGACACACACACACACACACACACACCAGATTCACTAGATTTCAACCCGCACCTTCATTTTGTGCGCCCCACAAGTGTCTCAGGTTTCGTATGGCGGACGAACTAGTTCCTGAAATATCTCGGGTACCTGATTTCCTCTCCGTCGTCAGGAAGGCCTGCGGAGGGACAGCTCGAAAAGACGGGCTGCCACCGCGACTGATGTTAAAGCCGCCACCACCACGAATGATGCCAAAGCAGCCAGACTGCGGAACAGAACGACTCTTTGCTTCCTCATTTAAGAGGCCCGAGATGGTGGTCAATGTCTGGCCTATCTCCTGCAGCTGCTTCTTGCGTATAGTGTTAGGTTCTTGAGAAGCAGGGCCACCACGACTGAGCACCGGCAAACCAGACATCCCCTGAGCACAATTGTCGGAGGCACAAAGACCGAGCACGGCCTACAGGGACCACAATCGCTTGAGCCTTATGGCCAACAGCTCCATAGCCAATTTAACAGAAACGTCTGGAACTCCGACGGTCTCAGAAGGCCAAAGAGTTGAGTAGTCCAACCAGAAGCCGGCCACCCTTGTCAGTGTCACCCGCCAAAATTGTGGGATAAAGCCAGAGATCTGCTGAACCTTCGAACCTTCCCCAGCATAACTTGAACCTCGTAATTAGCCCTGTGGCCCGGAATTCCCACCGAAGTCCAGGCCTGGAAAGGCTCTGCCTTCTTTGCGCCAGGCCTTGCGTTCTGGGGGAATCGCACAAGGGTTCACAATGAACTTCGGAGCCTCGGAAGCTACGACCGAACAAGTGGAACCCGAAGCCCCAAGCCCTAAGCTAAATCCCAAAAGAAGCTTGGAGCTGGCACCCTAGCCAGCCTTCGACAAATGAACAGACGAATGAGGAATTCAAACACATCCAAATAACACCAGCCATGACCGTACGCTGCCCAGCCGGAGTAGACATTCCGAACCACGATAGGAATACCAGGAACATGGCAAAGGGCATAGGAAGCCCATGTTTGATGATATTTGGGACGCAATTATAACCCCCTTCGCGCTCTGACCCATAGTGCAAATCCCTAAGCCTAAGCCCAAGCGCAAACCGCTTCAGAACCCCCATAACGCGTGGGGTTTACATTCAAAACCCTTAGCGTCGTGCCCGACTAACACACCCGCAGTGCAAAAGCCATTTGAGCACCAGTCGGGAAACCTACAAGGACCCATGTTCGCTTGAACAGACGTGCGTGAACTCTCAATCAAAACGAACACCCATCATCAACCTTTGCAGTTTCAACACACCCGAACACCTGCAACAAAAAACTTTCGACAACCCAAAACCCTACGTACCCCCCAACAAACCCTGCAGCCCTGAATCTCTCTTCTCCCGGCCGCGCGGCTTCCGTTCCTCCAGGGCCGCACCTCGCGCACGTGCTGCCAAAGCTGCCCCGGGCTTGCGGATGCCTCTGACGCGCAGGATGTTTAAGACTTTTGGGTTTAGGGGGCTTTGGAAGTTGCGGGATTTGGGGTTCAGACATCTTGGGTTTAGGGCTTAGCAGGTCCATAGCGTGCACCCCCTTTTCTCGTTCTTGCAGATTGCTTCGGTGTCTGTGGTATTGGGGACAAGACCACTTGGGCTCGCCGGCACCGCCAGATGCTTCTTGGTCGGCTGGGCATTTTCCACGTGTGGCCGGTTCCACAGGCGAACGGCCACTTTGGTTTCCTCCCTATACCAGGATGTTGTCATGTCTGCAGAGAAGGAAAAAGTACGGCGGCACAAGAGATGCTTCTTGGAAATACTTGGGGCAAACAATTCCGCGCGACATTGCTGTCAGGAGGCAAACTGACCCAAAGCAACACGCGACGTGCCAAAAATGCGACGCACTTGCTGAATTTGGGGGTGCGCGATGTGGACCCGCCCGGATTTAGGGTCATGAGATGTCATGAGTGCAGGATCTCTTGTGGATCTGGGTCCCCTACTTAAGGTTGAGGGGATCAGAGTTCAGGGTTGAACCTTGGACCTCTGAAGGCTTCAACTGGCACATCAGCGAAGATTTCCTGAACTACCCCTGAGGCTCCCCCTCCTCTTTCCGAGATCAACCTTCACGGGCTCAGGGTTCTTGAGGCTTTGGAGGGAAGGAAGGAGCCGCGGCGAAAAGAACAGGGCCCGAACCCGCCTTCCATGTAAAAGCTGTTCCCGCAGCCGAGCAAGCCCATGCCTGAGACATGCGAGAGAATTTTGGAAGTAACAAATTGTGGAGGCTTGCGGCTCAGGCTTCTACTACTACTGGCTTCGTGGGACTGCAGGGCTGAGAGGGCTCATAGGGCATCTTGGGTTGGAGTTTCTTGCTGCTTTTCGGCCTGAGGGTTTTTCTGTTCCCTGCATTTGGCTTTCGGTTCTTCGTAGGGCCTCTTACTGATTGGGATTCTTGGGAAGCGCATGGCCCAGGAATACAGTGCCAGTGCTGTGACGATTTAACGGTTTTCTCAACCCCATGTTTTGTACCTGCAGGCTCTGCGGCTGAGTTTGCGGACACCACTTACGAAAGGTGCGTGAAGATCATCCAAAGCCTGCTTTTGTCGTCCACTGTGCCACTGGGCAACGGTGAAGACCACAGAGTGACAACCCGGAAAAACACGCGCACGCGAATTCTGGAAAAGACGGATGCCCGGCCATACGATGCTGTACAAATGTTTGTAGCAGTTCAAAACTCCAAACCACAACAGCCTTACGTTGCAAAAGACTTCGTGCCCCCAAGACGCTGCGCAGTGCCACGCGGCTTGGCAGGCTTTGCAGGTGATTCCGGGAGTTGAGGTCCAAGCAGTTCCTGAGAAGCACAGTCTTGGTGTCTCATGGTGCGCTCCCGAAAAGAGCGCAAGATATGGAATGGTCGTTTGACGTTCCAGCCAGAATCGCAGTCGCGGTTCGCCTTTTCCCCACTTTTTTTCCCAAAGACAACTGTGATGGGTTTGGGGACTTGAAGCTTGGCTTTTCATTCCGAGCTACCAAACCTGCCTAACGCCAAATGCATGCAAGCCCTCTGACTGCAAGGCTTCTTCCCAGGCCCGAATGTTGGCTGTTCAACCGAACGGTTCAGCGTTCAGCCGCCGGAGAGTAACTCCAGGAATCCAGAAACCTCCAAGGCCCCCCATCTCTTCGGCCGCGCGGCACGGTGGCGAAGTCTTCGCGCACATTCCTACACAGAACCCTAAACAAAAGCCAAGCACCATGTAGAAAGCTAAGCTTCAAACCGGAGACCCTAAAGACGCACAACCCCTAAACCCTAATTACGCAGCAAGTTAAAGCTTTAAACCTTCTGTATGCACCCTGCCAGCCCTATGAACACCAAAGCCTCAAACCAATTGACAAGGTGAAAACGAACCTAAATTTGCCGAGAGATGACAGACTTCAAAAAAAAACTTACGCGGTAAAAGGCACTTAAACCAGCTCGGTATAGACATTAAACATTGATGAGCAAGTCATGTCTGCTGCTGGTGAACTGCTCACGTGCAAAAATCTCCGCATTCTTCAAACGCGCAGACACTTGCACTACATTCTCCTCCTAACCTTGGCAGAACAAAACTCTACGACTCTACGACTGATGACAAGCCCTGTATCCTTTACATGAACACATTTCAGAAGTATCACTTGTAAACGGAAGCGAAACACCGACTTGAAAATATGAGTTCGGTTTGCGCGAATATACAGCCTGTCAAAGAGTTGCAGATGAGAAAAAGAAACGAGAGGCTTCCAAGATGCGCGTAGCGTGTCAGACTGTGCTTCCTCATGTTTCTTCAAGACTCTCAGTTACAGCGCTAGAGAGTATGGGTAAGTCGGGTAAGTGTGTTTTGTTCTCAGGGCAAGAAGACAGCTGCCTCAGCTCCCGCAGTAGCAGCTTCAACTCGTCTTGCGCTTCAGGGCTCAGCTGACCTGCAAGGGGCTGAGGGCTTGGGGCTCGGGGCTTGAGGAGCTTTGGGACTTTGGGACTTTGGCGGGGTGTCGTTACAGCACTTCAGAACTACCCGTCAAGCCTGACCCCCAATTCTGGACTCTAAACCCTGACTCCCTAAACCTACAAGCCCGGCTTTCTTCTTCCTCCAGCGCCGTCGGCAGCACGGCCACCTATTCAGCTGAGCTCCAGGGAGGGATCTCCGAAACTCAATTCAGTTTTCTACCGGTTCGAGGTGAGTGCGGTTAGGGGGTTTCGGATGCAGAGCTCTCAGCAAGCGTCCAAGTTTGGAAGGTAGCAGAGCACCCACCAAGCATGCATCACAAACGAGAAGCATTAGCTAGCACTGCAAATGGCTCGCAGACGACTCTGGCCATGGCGAGCCCTCGAGATGCAAACGTCATGCGATTTATGTCTATTCAAGTTGCAGCAGCAATCACTGAGTTCTGCGGCAGTGCCAGTATCTGCTAATTTGGGCAGACGGGGTAGCATTTGTACTTCCAAATCACAAGTTTGTGCCGAAAGCTTAGGCGGCTAGGGCAAGAACTCCTGATTCCCTGCCCTCCCGTAGCCCTATAATGCTGCCCCAATGCTACGCACCTCTTGTTGAGCCTCTTTCAGCGGCTCGTTCACGGCAATCGGTCCAATCGGTGCTATGGACTCCTCGGGCTCCGCAGCCTTGGAAAGGTCATGGAGGCAGCTTAAAGGCAGGGTCTACTAGTGGGCCTGGGGCGTACAACAATCTGGCCTCTTTCTCCAACGCTCTGTTCTGCTTCGAGCCACGGACTGGAAGCTTAAAGAACGGCTTTGAAAAGGTTTGGCTTTCGGGCTGAGTGTGCTTTAAAAATTAGGGCTGCGAAGGCTTCTTAGAGTTTCGGGGACATGTGGAAACCCTCGATGGCAAAGAGCCTTCTTTTCGTGAGCACTCCTTCACAGTCAAGCGGAAGTAACAGAAAAAGAACAATGCCCGTCTCCTTGCCATCCGCATTACCTCAAGAATCAAGCCCTACATCCAAAGCACCTCAAGAGACCACCCTCAACCATCCAAAGCGAAGTCCAAATATAACAACAACAGCCATTGCTGTTGCCTCGTCTTTCAACGCCGGCAAGTCGAACCTCGGCGCTTGTACCTGGGAATCGCTAAGTGTTTCTTCGGCATGCTGAGACCCTTCTTTGGATGATAGGGAGTTTCTTTCTAACCCTAAACTTAAAAAAGCTTTAGACTTTGGGATGCTGCCGTTCGGATGAATGAGCTTTGAGGGTTCTGCAGTCTGAGGGGCGTAAACCAACAGCCTAGCACAGCCTGAATCCATTATCTATTTCTTACCCACGCAAGTACAAGCAAAACTTGACTTCGCGGTGAAAGCCATCACGCTCAGAGGGGCTGCTGAGCTGCTGAACCTTCAATGGCCACGTCAGTAGACTGTGGACATGTGGAAGCACTATGACAGCACTATGAAGCACTTACATAGACCGCATTCTTCCCTCCCGAGCCGCTGCCGCCACAGCCGGGGCGGCGGTCGGGGAGCGCCAGTGTCCCCCAGCGGCCTGGCGCCAAGAAATGTCAAACTTCCCAACGCGCGAACTTCTGCTGTTTAGGACGTGCTCGCGGCTTTTGGATTTAGGGATTACTTGGGGTCGAACATGCCCATGGCGTTGGTGTCCTTGTGACCAAGATCGGCTTCATGCCTCGAGCATTAGTTGGGCGTACCCTGAGGAAGGGGCGAATATCAAGAACATAAATGACACAACGGAAGGGGCAGTGGCAAGCATCATGTGCATGTGGCGTGAGGGAGGGCAGTGACGAGCATCAAGAGCATCAAGTATGAGTTGAAACGTGAGCAAAGGAGGCGACCAGCTTCCAAGGTTTCTTCTCAACTTTGCGCTCTTCAATTACAATCGGCTCTGATCCCCTCCGCGTGCCCAGCCTCGAGGAGCTTCCTGCGGGGCACCAGCGGGATCCCAACCTTCTCCAGGTCCGAGTCCTGCAACTTCAGGGAAAAAAGATTTCAGGACCAGAGGACGATGAACGAGGCCGACCTAAAGCATGAACCGCCGACTCCCCGCTCCCAATTCACCAGCTCAGAGCTGAAACATGCTGAAACTGCTTCTTGCGTTCCAGTGAATCCTCTTCTCCCATATCCTACACCCGATTCCCTCTACAACTACAAGAATGAACAGCCAACATCGCTACAGCACCTCGCCTGGAGGTAGCTGAGATCGGCCACAGTTTCGGCTCCCAGGTCCTCTTGGACAGTCATGACCAAGCAGTTTCTGTGCCAAGTTTATGGCTTCAAAGAGAGAATCCCCCCGGAACTCCCAAAGGCAGAGCCCTAAGCCTCACAACCCCACCATTTGAACCACACCCCAAAGACAGGCCTAGCCCAATCCCAACACAGGAGAACCGCCAACCTGCGGCCTCTTAGTCGAGGTATGTTTGTGTTCTTGCATCTTGCTGCATCTTGTTCCATCTCCTCAAGCCCGCTCTCGCAACAAGTTGAGAAGAGGGCAAGGATGGGTTGCGCTGGTGCTGCATGGATTAGGGGCTTAGGGTTTCGTTTGGGCGTTTGGATTGCAAGCTGCAAAATTGAGGGGAACGGTTCAAGATCGGTGTCTAGGAGTCTAGCATAGCGGTGTGCCGGCAAGTTCTCTCAATCCGATGTCATCACCTCACTCCTCAAAGACCGGAAATATCCCCTTGCCAAATGTTTTCGTTTTCTCCCGAAAAGCCAATCCCCAAGACATGGAGCCTCCGAGCCTCCTAAGCTTACATCCAAAAAATCAACAAGAGACAACTCTCCCGTTCTCTGAAAGCTTGCAGGGCCATCTGAGGCCCTCGGTCCGCAAGCGCCGCCGCAAAGCGCTCCAGGCGCAGCCGCTTCAGCAGCGCCTCGCGGCCCAGAAACGGGTTCCAGGGGTTCTCTTTTCACAATTCACGAATGGGGCGTGCCACTCAAGATGGCCAAACCCATCCACGTGCCTCCAGATCTGCGCCCTCCTCTGACCCAGCCATGGCCACGGGGCGGCGAAGCTGGTTTTGGGAGGGTTTAGGGTGGAGGGATTAAGGCTGATTAAGGCTTGTTGGGTTAAGATGGGTTAAGGGTTTCGGGGTGGGGGCTCGGCTCTTGGGTGTCGCGTTCTGGGTGGGAAGGCTCCGAGGCCGTGGGCTCGTCAGCGAGCCTTGAACTACAACGCAGGAGCATCGAGATTGGACCATGCTTCAGGGTGTCCAACTTCATAGCTCCCTATCACTCTTGAGGGTTAGCCTACAGCAGCATACTGTAGACTGTAGTACCATCTTATGGTCGGGACTCAAGATTCGGAGGCCTCTTTTTCCAGAGGCTAAGACGAATTCCTCCACAACTGGGATCACGTGAAAGCCCTGTCTGAATCCATATTCTGTTGCGGACCAAAACCCGCATCCTCTCCAACAAGGCTATCGTTTCGCAGTGAATTGAAGAATATTGAAGAAGTAGGCCGAGAGCTGCCAGGCTGCCTTTTCTTGACCCTCTCACATCGGGGCTTTCACGCGGTTTGTTGGTCAGGCAGCAACGAATAAACCCAGCACATCTGTGCCAAGCAGGTCTGGCAGAGGCCTGAGGGCGTACCCCTCATGCACGGCAAGGACGTCCACCTAACTTTCGAGCCTTGATAACATCGCCAACAGTTGAGAGAAGGTCCAGTGTTCGAAAGCAGGCTCGTGCATGATGTTGCTTGTGGCTGGCTACCTCGATCTTTTTGTTCAAAGGCTTTGCCGAAACTTTGCGATCCAACCCATAGACCACAACATAATTGGCCGTATTTCCGGCATTTTCCCATCAACCCTTATCAAGGCCAGAGGAAGTGCATCCTTCTTGGGGGCTGAGGTTGTTAAGGGCTTTAAGTTGGAGAGTCGGATTTGACTACTCGTAGTTCCAGAACCTGCGGACAAATCGCACGGATGTAGAGGGCAGGCAGGTCCTCTTCGAGGACACCAAGTCTGCGTCGACCACGGGGAAGCGTACGCCGCTCGCCAACTGTGACTCTCTCCGTGTGCGTGCGCGTGGACGCACGCCTGAAGTTAGATGACAGGAATTTTGGGCTACGCCTTTCGGGCTCGAGTGTGGTTCGGGATGTAGGAATGCTTAGAGGGAGGGCAGGAGAAAGAGAGAGAGAGAGAGAGACAGGGGAGAGAGCGAGAGAGAGCGAGAGAGGCTTTATGAGCTGTCGATAGGAACATACGCGGTCCATGCAAAGTTATATGCTGTGCAAGAGCAAAGGACTGGAATTCACCTGTTCACCTCACGAGTTCCCTGACATCTGGAATCCTTGCTGTAGATGCCTTCTGCGTGCAGCCGGCGGTCTTCGGACGCCTCGCCCGGAAAATCTGCTTCCGGCATCGGCCAAGTGGCTCAGCAGGGCGCATGAGCCGCGAAGAGTCGGAACATTTGGAACGATGAGAAGCAGCGACGCGGCTCGGGGGTTTAGGGTAGGGAAGCGAATGAAACGATCCGGTCTGTATGTTCTTTTTCCGAGTACTTCTCCTTCAAGCCCTGTCTTCTAGAATCGGGCTCATCAGCAGAACTCGTGGCCAGAACATGCCGCGTCAGACATCCCAGGTCAGTCATACCGCGTAAACCCATAAAAAGGCAACTGGGAAGGTTCCCTTTTTGTTGTACTTCTAGCCAGGTTGTCGCCTGCGCTCCTATCTATGCCGGCACATGACCTCTTGAACTGAACCTTTGAAACTGCCAAATGCTGGTTCCTGGAGTTCGGCATTCGTAGTTTGGTTTCCTTCAGCGGCAAGTTGCACCCCAAGCCCTCTTCCACAAGTTCCGACATTTCAGGAAGCATCAACGTGGTCACTAACTGGGCACGCTGGAAAGCCTTCGGCTAAGCCTGCTTGCCGTGACGGACTCAACCTTCCTTTGCTCGCACTAGGGACTACTTCGCTTCAGGCCCTTATAGCCTTAACGGAGAGCCTGGTACCTCCCAATCTCTTGCGCAAAGTACTTTGGGGAACGAGGAATGTGCATCGGATGGGCCCGGTATAACTTGCTGCAAATTCCAGCACACCATGGTCTTGGACCAGGCAATGGCTGTGTTGTAGTATACTAGTGGGCGACTAGCGTACCTGCAGGTAGCCGCCATATTTAGTCCGAGCTTAATGATCGCGATTTGGGGCTTTTGCGGGTCACAGCGCCCACGGTCTAAGTAGCAGCCAAGACTTGCCAGGTACTGGTGGTCCCTACCTGGTCCCAGAGATCGCGTCAAGCTTCGTTCGCATCTTCCGCCACCTCAGTCGCACGGTGGGATCTAGGACTGTCAGCGCTTCTCGAACCCAAGATTTCATTGGGCCTTCGGATTTTGGGCGCTTTCAAACGGAGTTGTACTGCCCCTGGTCCACAGTAGCGCCAAGTGGCCTCAAGAGTGGCTTTGGTGGAAACCCACAACGCCCCAACAAAAACTCGCCAAACCCTCTCAGAACAACATACCACTACCCCTTGGCGCCTGGACCGCTGTAATTTTGAGGGTTTCACGTTTTGGGGCGTTCTGCTCCGTGGTCATTGGGTCGGCCAAGGTACGCATCGTCCATGCTTTGCAGGCGGAGGTTCAGCTCCTAAGCTGGGGGATGTCTAGGAGAGGTGAGGAGACGGCCGTGCACAGAAGGCAATCCGCAAACCTCATGCAGAGCACCACAAACAAACCCCTTACTTAACACCGAAACCCGAAACCTTTCGTAGTTCTGGGCGTAGTCTTAGACACCTCCATGCTGCTTAACGGCACGAAAAGCGCAGCATCTGCCCCGGACAAGACGAAGTATGATGCTGTGTGCAGAGAACAAGAACTCCCAAAATGATGCCAGAACCTATTCGCAGTTTCAAAGATCCGTTTTCACAGGTGCCATTGCTGTTCTCAACATCAAGTCGAATATGTACTGAGGCGCCGCGAAGCAGTCGCGGATGTATATGCGCAAGATTTCCTTAGGCAGGCTGTTGTTCGAGAGGCTCACGAGACTCAAAGACTCAAAGACTCGTTACTCCGTACACTCTCAAGCCACAACCTCTTATGCTCAACCCCACGGCTCAGCTTAAACTAATCTTAAACCTTGCACTCCAGGGCTGCATCCCGCCTCTCGGGGACTAAAGGGGGGGAGGGGTCGTCTCTGGGCCACGTTGGGCCTATTCTTTTCCTTTGCCTTCCGCTGCTCAGTCGGTTTGGCTCACTTTGGCAGCAGAGCAGCTCTGTCGGCCATCCGCGCGGGCGTGTGCAGTTTGATGGAGGCGCCAACGAACTCCTGCACAGCCCCAAAAAAATTTTCGGGCTGTGGGGC